TTTCATTACCCCCATATATTTCTTAATGAAAAAACTTCACAAAATTATTATTTCAAGTAATTAATCAACTCCACATATCTCTTAATTTTCGCTCAGAGACTGATCTCATGAAGTATGATGAGGGCGCTCTGGCAAGGCACCGACGACCAGCCACCCCTTATGTGTATACTCCAATTTAGTAAATAGCATCTTCCGTTTGTTATGAATTAATCCATGTGTGTGTATATACACACACACACGGAGAAGATGAACAAAATGTTAAATAAAATTATGAATAAAATTAGAAATTTTTTAAAAATAAATAAAATTAAACTACTAAATTTTGCCATGATAACTTAAAATAATGATAAAAATATTTTATATAATTATTTTGTATAATATGATATTTGAATCGTTCAAATTACAATCTTAAGTTTTGAGTTGAAAAGTGGATAGAAATAAAAGGGAAGGAAAGTGGAGAGACCCTTTTTCCATATATACACATAAATACGTACATAAATATATATTGATTATTTAATCTTTACACAATGTTATAACTTAAAAAATTTAGAGAATAATAAATTATATATAATTATGTAACACCTATTTTTTAAAAATGTACAAATTGATTATATATTTATTAAATTAATTATAACAATATTCATATTTTAATACATTTTCACATGTAATTGTATATTAATGATTAGAACATAAATTTTCAAATTATATAAAATTAAATGCTCAAATTTTATAATAATTGATATTTGCTCTTCCAAATATTTTATTTTTTTCCAGCTCATACAATCAAGTAGTCAAGTACCATGTTTTCAGGAGTGAGTTAATAATATAAATACTCCTCCGATCCTTAATATAAGACCCATTTAACTAATTTGATTAGATTAAGAAAGTTAGGTAAGTTAGTTAATTATAAGAAAAGTGACACATTTTTTCTAAAACACCATAATCATCTTTTTTAATACCCCTCTCCCTCTTCTACTTGATTATAATTGAGAGAGTATCTATAGGGGTAATTTAGAGAAAATTGATAAATATGAGAAATGGATCTTATATTTAGGACTAAAATCAATTCAAGAATTGGGTCTTATATTAAGGACCGGAGGAGTAGAAAACAAAATATTTTGATAAACTTTTTAAATACATTAATAAAAGAAATACGATAATTCATGCATATTAATATTATTAAGGGAAACTACTTGCCGTACGTACAGGGCAGAGTGGAAGGGTAGCTTCTTCGATTTTTGAAGATCAATGAAGTGCTTCTCATCATTATCATCAAGCTTATTGTTAATTATTACGTTTCAAGAGGACATTGATCACCACCATCGCTATCCGTTCTGAACAAGAACACTTGCGCCGAGTTCTATGTTCGTAAGCTAACTGCAAAATGCCTCGCCAACCACTTATTCTGAAACCATTAACGAATTGGCTGTTGCACATGAATGTGTTTTTTAACAACAATTCATGCACATTCCTCTTTCGATCGCCATCCCCTCTCTACCTCATTTCGATCCTTCCTCCAACGACAAGCGAACCCAATTCTTTTTCCTCGGAACAAAGCAGTGATGTGGTTATTAATGGCATCCTTAAACCCCTACCATTAGTTCTCTGCTTTCCTTTTCCTTTTCCTTCGCTTGCCTGGGAAATAACATGGAGAAATCCCAACTTGGTTTTGGGGTTTCTTTCGGAATTCATCGTCTTGTTTTGGTGCTATCTGTGGCAATTTCGGCTTTGTCTCAAAATGATTCAGAGGTGATGAATATTCTTAAGAAGGCGATCAATGCCCCACCTAGTCTCAGATGGACAGACGCTGACGTTTGCAAATGGCGACGAGTGAATTGCAACGCTGGAAAAAGTGTCATTTCCATCCAGATTGGGAACTTGAATTTGCAAGGTTTGCTTCCAAAAGAACTCGAGAATCTCTCAGAGTTGCAGCAATTTGAATGCCCACAAAACAATCTGACGGGTCAATTTCCATATCTATCCAAGACACTACACAGACTTGTGATCCCAGATAACAAGTTCAGTTCCATCCCCAGAGACTTCTTTAAAGAAATGACAATGTTACAAGAAGTAAGAATTGGAAAGAACCCATTTTCGCCATGGTCTATCCCAGACAGTCTTAAGGATTGCGTAGCACTCCAGACATTCATTGCAACAAATGCAAATTTGGTTGGAACAATCCCAGATTTTTTGGGTACTATGGCAGGTTTAATTTCTTTAGTCTTGAATTCTAATAGTCTTGAAGGTGGGCTGCCCGTGAGTTTTGCGAATAGTTCAATTGAGGAGCTTTTGTTGAACACACAAAATGGTAACTATAAACTCAATGGCACAATTAAGGTGCTACAAAACATGACATCCTTAAAGAAAGTTTGGCTACATGGTAATTCATTTACAGGTCCAATACCAGACTTGTCAAACCTTGGTCAGTTGTTTGATGTGAGTGTAAGGGACAACCAACTGGCATGTGCAGTCCCATCATCTCTCATGGCTCTTCCAAGATTGCAGGTTGTGAATTTGACTAACAATTTCCTTCAAGGCCCCATTCCAACATTTAAATCGAGTGTGGTTGTTGATGTGTCTGGGATTAATCGGTTTTGCACAAACATCACAAATCAGCCATGTAGTTCCCTTGTGAATGCTTTGCTCTCTGTTGTTGAACCCTTGGGATGTCCAGTGAAATTGGCTGATAATTGGAAGGGCAATGATCCCTGTAATGGTAGCTGGACAGGAATAGTGTGCTCTGGGGGGAACATTTCAATTGTTAATTTTCAAGATATGGGTTTATCAGGCACGATTTCTCCAACTTTTGCCTCACTTACTTCTGTAACAAAATTGCTTCTTGCCAATAATTCACTTATGGGCCCTATACCAAATGAGCTCACTACCATGCCCAATCTACGAGAGCTAGATGTTTCAAATAACAATTTAGAAGGTTATGTGCCATCTTTTCCTAAAAAAGTCATGATTATTAGGAAAGATGGGAATCCTAATCTTGGAAAACCTCTTAAATCACCTAGCTCAAGTTCTAGGGGCAATGGTACTAAGAAAATGGACCAGCTTTCTACATTCATTGCGGGCATTGCCGTTGGTTTAATGATTTTACTTATTATATTGGTCATAGTTTCTTACGTGATTGTTAAAAAACGTAATTATTTTGGCAAGTTTAGAGGTCTGATAACGAAGTTAATACGTCCTCGTGATGGTGAAGTTGGAAAAGGCATGAAGATTTATGTTGAAGGTGCTGGTGCTCCTAGTCAAGCTGATGTTCAAGGTATGGTAATTCCAATTCAAGTTTTGAAAGAAGTCACTAACAATTTTAGTAATGCAAACATACTTGGAAAGGGTGGATTTGGCACTGTGTACAAAGGTGAACTACATGATGGATCAAAGATTGCAGTGAAAAGAATGGAATCAGGATTGTTGCTGGAGAAGGGACTAAGTGAATTCCGAGCTGAAATTGCAGTGCTTACGCAAGCTCGTCACAAACATTTGGTGGCACTTCTGGGATACTGCTTGGATGGAAATGAGAAGCTTCTTGTATATGAATACATGCCCCAAGGAGCACTGAGTAAGCATTTGTTTAGGTGGAAAGAGAATGGGTTGGAACCTCTGGATTGGACAAGAAGACTAAACATTGCCTTGGATGTAGCTAGAGGCGTTGAGTATCTTCATGCCTTAGCTCAACAAAGTTTTATTCATAGGGATCTTAAGCCATCCAACATTCTTCTGGGGGACGATATGGGAGCTAAAGTATCAGACTTTGGATTAGTCCGGCTTGCTCCTGAAGGAAGAAATTCAGTTGAAACAAGGCTGGCCGGAACTTTCGGATATCTTGCACCTGAGTATGCAGGTTAGTTGGCTTTTAGATTCTGTTAAAATTGTGCTATCTTTCTGTCTTCCATATATTAATTTTACCTTGAAATGTCTTTAGCTCTACACATTATACATAGATTATACAAGCCACGCCATTGTATATAATTATACAGAATTATAGACAAGGCACTAAAATGGTATGATTCGCTCATGCAGCAACTGGGCGGGTTACTACAAAGGTTGATGTGTACAGTTTTGGAGTAGTTCTGATGGAGATGATAACGGGGAGGAGAGTGCTTGATGATAGCCTGCCAGAGGAAGACTTCCACTTGGTTATGTGGTTCCGACGAATGATGCAGAACAATGACTCGTTTCGAAGGGTCATTGATCCTATCATTGATGCTGATGATGAAGCAACCATGTGCAGCATTAGGACTGTCTCAGAGCTGGCTGGCCATTGCTGTGCCAGTGAGCCTCATCAACGTCCAGACATGGGCTATATAGTGAACTTACTCTCGCCTCTTGTCCAGGCAGCATGGAAGCCCATGGAGTCAAGTTCTTCTGATGATGGCAAGTATGGCATTGATTTTGACATGAGTTTGCCCCAAGCACTTAGCAAATGGCAATCTTTGGAAGGAAAAAGCTGTTCAATGGTGAAAGGATCTTCTTCGCAATCATTTGTCACAAAATAATGTTACAAATTCAAGCTTAGAATTATATTCTTTCCCTCGCTAAACAGAGAATGATGGGCCTCAATATTAGTTGAGCTCGGTTTAATTCTTCCTTTCTCTCTCTTTACTATATACAGTGCTGCAATAAAGGACCCGGGTCCAATTAATATCAGACGATCTTCTCAATTTCATTTCTGTAACTTTGAAAGAAAGAAGGAAAAGAATGAACGGATGAGAAGTGAAGTGACATGTTCTGTAAGTACGCATTGCACTTGTGTATTACTACACTCAAAGAAATTTGGAGGATCCGAGGTGGTTTATTTACCCTTACCTTTAAAGTTGAAATTAATTATGCATAGATAAGGGGGGAATATAATATCGGGCTCACACAAACCTGCTCACTCATATAATAAGGCAAGATTTCACACGAGTGTCACTTATTGTTGATATATGTCTTTTATTTTTCAAACTTGACAAAATTATTCCAACTAATCAATTAAACAATAATACTCCAACTCACGAAGCCTTTTGCACCAATGACCACCAGTTCCTCCATATTTGGCAGATTCCTATTTAATACCGTGCATTATGATCATGAATTAATCACTGTTCATACAAAAAAATCTATAAATTGAAATTTTTTTTCCCTCAGAATTGATTTCTAATCAAATACAATATGTATATATCTCCACCCATTCACACCTCTGTTTTCTGGAAAAAAGAAAAAGAAAATTCTATTCATGTTACATAAGGTATATATATATGTATCGTCATCACGAGCTAGCTACTGTGTTTTTGCATAGTAACATAACATGTCCAAATTTGGCTGAGAAAAAGGGTTATTATTATTACCCACTGCAGGTTGATACAATTGCCTCTTCCATGAGTCACCTGCATCGTCCTCTCCTTGCCCCTTATACGCCCCAACAAAATTATTATGGTTATTGAATCCATTTTTAGAACCCCGGAAGCCAAAATCAGTCTGATCATGAGAAAAGCTAATAGAAGATTCCAACAATGCCTCCCAGCTATCATCCTCCTTTTTACCATCATCTTCGAGATCAATCAATGGCTTCTCCTCTTTATCACCAAGCTTATTATTATGATGTTTCCTGAATGCAACATCACCACGTCTTCTCGCAACGGGCTTTTCTGACTCCACCGACGATGACAACGGAGAGCTCGGCGTAGCCGGTGATAACGGTGACCATGATGGCGTCTCGGTTAGCTCCCACATGCCTTGGAGAAGAGATTCCAGAGCTTGAATTTGTATTAGTGGGATTCTATCAACCAAAGGGTACTCATAGAAACCGCAAAATCCTTTAGCTTTACACCAATCATAGAATTGGGAAAGTTGGCTTGTTTGTACAGAAGCTTTCTTGTATATAGCGAAAGCAGCTATGCAATTCTTGTAAGGCATTTGAAGAAGATTATCCAAAACCACTGCGATTTCTCTTCTGAACTGTGTGTAGCAAACGAAGCTATCTCGAATTATCTGTGTCATCGCCGATCGAACGATGGAACTTTTTGTTAATTTCTCCATGGGAACACAACCCATCACTCTGTCCATGATGCTTTGAAGCTGCGGTAACATCTCAAGCATGTCACCAATATCTGTCATCTTCGCTTCGAATTTCTCAGTCCCATGATTACTCTCTCCTTCTTCTTCTTGACCTTCACCTTCTTGTTCTTCATAGAATAATTTCTTGCCTTCCAAGAAAACACAATCTAGGGCTTCATCAATCAGTAGAGCGTAGGATCTAATGAAAACAGTGTACTCGGCAGACCTACACGAAGACGAATTGTCTCGAAAATGACAAGGGTAAAGAGAAAGCAAACCGTTAGAACATGACCAGAGGATTTCAGGCCGGGAGGGGCTGTCGGCCGGGACCGACCGGATCAAGCGGTGGAGGAGGAGAAGGCACTTGAGCGCGACGCGCCAGCTACGGGTGGCGCCAAAGCGGCGAGTGAAGCTGACGGAGAAGGAGTGGAAGGAAGAAGGAGAGAAGGAAAAGATTTTCAAGAGCACATGTACGTATTTGTCACGAAGAGGCAAGTCATCTGGTGGCGTTGCTTTGATGAGGATGAGATTGATATCGGAATACCCCGACGCTGAAGCGATCTTCGCGTAGCTGACGGAACTGTGCTCTTTCAGAGCACTGCGTACTTGCCGGAGCTTCCTCAGCATGTTGTCTCTCTCTTCCCCCCTTCTCTCTCTAGTCTCTCCCAAGAATGAGGGAGCTAGGGAAAGATGAAGAGGATGGTAGCTGGTGATGACCAAGTATGACGCTTAAATATTTGAATAAAGCAATAATACTCATTTTCAAATTTTACAATAAATATGTGTGATGATGGGTAGAAAAAAATTAGTTAAATTAATTATTTATAATAAATATTTATTAATTTTTTAAAATACTCATTTTATCATTATGCTCATTAAGAAACTAAATACCCCTTTGTATGTAATTAATAGAGCTAATTTTTTAAAAAAAATACAAATTTAAAGAGCAAAATGAATTAAAATTTACATTTAGAACTAATAGAAACTCCTTAATTAGTTACGACATTTATGATATGAAGGAATATATTTTTATCTTTGGGTGTATTATGTTTATTTAGTATATTATTGAAAATGGGGGGCCTCGAATGTGACGACTTTAATGACTGGGGGTGGTGTTTGTTTGGTTATCAGCCTCGTCGTGGCTACGACTACAAGAAAATGCTTCGGTAATAATGAGGAGGTAGCTGAAGTGGACTAGGAATATAAAAGATACTATCTCGAATCTTTAATATAATATCTTGTTTGATTTTTATTTTGGTCATAAATATAAAATCTCAATCCACTTTGTCTCTCATATTTATACATTTTTAAAAAAAATAATCCTTTTAACAATGATAGTTCTAGATAACAAACTTAATTAGCAATGATATTTTAGGAAAAACAACACCTATTTATTACAAATAACTAACTTAACTAAATTCTTTAATCTCTACAAATGAATTAATTGAGTCTTATAATTAAGATAGGAGGTAGTAAAACAAATCACATTTTGAAAAGATTCTCAGCTTCTTAACAAAGTTTTCTAGTATTGTCGCTTTAGCGCATAAATATTATCGAAGCCATGTCTTTGGATCCGACTCATGATTAGTCTTTTTGGAAGTATACAATACCCCAAATACGACTTGGCCAATCAATTCAATTTTGGGCTCACAAGGGACACGTTAATATGCGTCAAAAGTCCAACTTTTACTCCCAAAAACAACCACGCGGAGTTAAGATAAGGATTGGTGACTCACATGACAAATAAAGATCGAATCTTTATTATGAGAAGTATTTATATTCTCTTTAATAGTATTTTGGAAAAATTGTGCTTGGTAAAGATCTGACAGTATTTTGCAAAAATTATCTTTAATGGGAGAATACTTATGGTTGGCAAAGAAAAATCTCCAAAAACAAGATTGACACTCGCAACTAACAAAGTTTGATCTAAGCAACAGGAATTAGACATAGCAGAATGAGTTAGTTTCTCATAATATAGCAAACTAAAGTTTAAATCCTCACTGAAAAAAATAAATAATTACATATCGTAACTAATAGTGACTCGAATAGAATTACCTCCAGTAGAAAAAAATACTTGTGCCTAGGGGAAAAAAGAAGAAGCACAAAGGTTGGTCTCTAATTAAGCTTATTTTCTTTTATGTTTTCATGACTTAAATAAGGTTTTTAGCAAGATATTTGCACTTAACTACATAATTTTTGAACAAGTTGTTGAATCATTGAGTTATTGCATGAATTTGTGGTTGAAAAGGTGTTTTTGTTATTAAAAATTGCGTTTACTCTTTGTTTTTATTCTTTGGAGCTACGATACTTCTTGGGCTTTATTAGTATTGTAGGTACTTTAAAGAAAGTGGACAAAAGGTGCAAATACCCAAACAAAGGACCACTTGGGCTCAGAAATTTGGACTTCGGGGGTTCAGTTTGGTGGAAAGAGCTAGTTTATCATAATATGACGTATCAAGATTTAAATTCTCACTGAGAGTAGAGCCGGGAATCAGGGCCGGCCCTTCAAGGCTGGCGGGCTTAAAAGGACCGGCCCTTCAGGGCTGGCGGGCTTAAAAGGGCCGGCCCTCCAGGGCTGAAATTTTAAAAATACCCCAATTTGCTAAGCCCGGCCCTTAAGCTACAGGACCAGGGCCGGCCCACGGGCTTTTGGCCCGTTTAAGAAAAAATACTATTTTTTATATTTATCATATTTTTTTATAAAAATATAAAAATAAACCAATGAAATTATTAATAAAAGACATAAATATGAAAAAATTAAGTCACAAATATAAAATATTATCATATATAAATATTCATCAATATCTAAGAACATCTAAAACATTCATTAACAAATAATAACATCTAAAAGTTTTATCTATAATGCAATTGTGTAATAAATAAACATTATCATTAATCTTTTGAAACTTCATCATCACTATAATTAATTATTTTTCTTCATAAGTATGCTTTTCTTTCGTAACAAAAATATCAAGTTTTTCTTCTTTATAAGAATTTTATTTTTACATTTTGCAATATAACTATTATTTTACTTTAATGTGAGAAACATTGTTGTTAAAACTCATGAATTTCTAATTTAAATTATAGAATCACAAGTTATATAAGTATAAAAATATTCTATTATCAAATATATATATATATAGTTTAAAAATATCGATGCATATAATATAAATCAAATCATTATTAAAATCCAAATTAACCCATTTTTTAAAAATTTAATTGGATAAATTATTGTCTAAAACTAAATTTAATTTTAAAATGATAATAATAACTAAATATTTGAAATATTATTAACAATGTAAAAATTAATAACATTAATATTATATAAAAAATTTTAAAAATAAAAAAATTATAAAAGGGCTTAAAAGGGCCGGCCCGCGGCCCTCCAGGGCCGACCCTTTTAAGCCCTCGGCCCTCCAGGGCTTATTTCTCATTTTAAGAGAAAAATATCAAGCCCGGTCCTCATAATTTCAGGGCCTAAAAGGGCCGACCCGATGGGCTCGGCTCGTTTTCCCGGCTCTAACTGAGAGAGATGTCTATATTTAGCTCCCAACAGTATTTTAAATAGAATTACCTATAATAAAAAAACATCTATGCATAACAAGAAATTTTTGGGAGAAAAAAAAATTATTGAGATTCATCTTACACATGTTATAAACATTTAAATATGATAAATATTTTAACTTGCCTAGTTGATGCAAGAAAGAAAGAAAGATAAATGTGATAATTAAGCATGTAGGTAACCAAGCCCTTGTAAGGGCATTAAATTAATGCTGTTGAGTTTGGCACTAGCGACTTACACAAGTTAGTGCTTTCATGCGTTCACACAATAGCAGAACGGGAATGTTTAGATAAAACCAAATTATGATTTAGAGAATAACTTATAAAAAAAAATTATTTTTGAGAATAGATTTTAAAAAAATAGATTTTGTGAAAAAAATAGATTTTGATAAAATGAAAATGTTTGGATAGTTGTTATCAGAAATACTTTTTATATATACAAATTACTAAAAAGGACATAAGTTAATATGATAATTACATAAAAGATAGATTTTATAATATATTTTTATTTGAACTTAGATTTTATAATATATTTTTATTTGAACTAATAAATTTTTTAATAATATATTTTTTACCAACATAATAAAAAATATATAAAAAATGCAATTAATAAATAATTGATATGTGTATATGTATTTATAAAATATAAAATTAAATATGTTTTCCAAAAAAATGATTTTTTTTTGTCAACAGAAAAATATTATTTTGCCTTAAAGATTTTAAACATGAAATCCCATAATATTTTTTTACAACTAGTTTTTTTTTTAACAACATACTACCATTGATCTTTAATATAATAGCTATTTTGATATTCAATTTGGCTCTAAATATAAAATCCCAATTCATTTTATTTTTCATATTTATTTATTTTTTTAAAAGTAGTCTTTGTAGTAGTTACACAAGTTAAATATTTTATCAAATAGTACTTCTAGCTAATATATATTATTAGAAAAGAGTATTTTAGGGAAGACAAAACTTATTTATTACAAATAATTAATTCCAAGGGAATACTCTATTCAACTTTATTTTGTTGCTATAGCTTATGTATATATAAGAAGTATTTCTTTACTTTTCTGTTCCTTTTACTTTTCTTTCTTTTCTTTTCTTTCTTCTTCTTCTTCTTCTTTCTTTCCTTTTTTTTCTAAAACTGAAATATAAGTAAAATTCCCAATTAAGACCCATGAAGATCAGCAAATCATAATTGTTGAGATGGAATTTTTGTTCAAAACAATTGAAATGATAAACGAAATGAAGGAAGTGCAAGCTCAAAAATAGTTAACTAGCTCTTATATTAAGAACTAAAAGTAGTATTATAATGTAAAAAAAAAGGACCACATTTTCAAAAAGTAACATTTTTTTTTGTTTTTTATGAAATCATGGTTTAGGTAGGTCAAACCATGATTTTGGAGCCATACCATGAAATATATATTATATGTAATTATCATTTAAACTTATGTCCTTTTTAATAATTTCTACATATCAAAAAGCACTTCTGACAATAATTATCCAAACACTCTCACTTTATCAGAATCACTTTTCCAGAAAATCTATTCTCTCCAGAATCTATTCTCCAGAAGCTATTCTGCAAACCATGGTTTTGCCTCATCCAAACACCCCCCAAATACCCCTAAATTAAACTAGCTTTTGCACTCTGTGTGATGTATGATAATATTAAAAATTAACAGAAGTCAAATATGACATGAATATGAACCCAATAAATTTATAACTAGATAATAGTAATTAACTATTAATTAAATGCTTGCAGTATTATGACTGATGGTTGTTATAGAAGCTGATTCATTATTATGCAATAAAATATTGGCAACCATATATATGATAAAGTTTAACAATTAGGTTTATAACTATCTCGCTCTGTTTTTTTTTTTTTTTATATTGGCACTTTTTATAAGGAATTAACTACTTTCTGTTCGAAAATCACAACTCCTATTAAATGTGTTGAAGACTAAATTTATTACTTGTGTGAGTGTGTGTGTGTGTGGAGTGAGAGGCTCAATGGCCACTAGACTACGTAGTGGTGGGGAGAGATTTTTTTTTTTTTCCTAATTAACAATTGAGGGCATTTCGATAAGT